GTTTTGTTTTTTTTAATTTATATGGACTTTATATTACAACAAATTTTGAGTACATTGGTAGCCACCTTGTCTCATAAATTTTTATTTTAAATTCTGTAGCATAAGCTCAAGCGTTAATCTGTTCCTGCCTGTAAACTTAGCTGACACAGATGAGCAGAGCAAGCCTGTATGTGGGCATGCTCATTCCAGTTTTCCTAAGCTTTTTCCTAATGGAGTAAACCAAAACAAATTTGAATTAAACCAAAGAGAGTTTCCACTGTGCCTTGTTTCACCAATTCTAACTAAATTAATTTTCAAAGAGCCACTGAAGTCTAAAGGCTTGTTGTGGGCAAGTTTAACACATCCTTCCAGACACCTGCATTAGCTGAGTGGGAAGTACCGAGATAAAAGAAAAAGTCAGAGGACCTCCCTTTTATAGAGAGAGCGTAACGGAAGGTGCTAAACATTTTTGACTGCTGTAAAAGGTTTGATAGATGCTTTTAGTGATGAATAAAAACCCCCAAGCCCAAAAAACCCCACCACATAGTTATTTGCACCTCCCGTTAGAGGATGCAAATGGCACCCGGCCACTATTCCCTTCCTGCAGCGAACACGAATCCGTCTCCTCCTCAGCAGGAGCAAAGTGAGAAAAGTGTGCAAGCTCAGTCCTCCCGCCTGGAAATCACAGCCCATCTCACTGCTGTCAAGAGGCAGGGAAGACTTGCCAGCACCAGTTGGATCGCCAAACTAGAAGTCATAATGAAGCTCTTCCCTGCCTTCACTCAGCAATGCAATAGCCAACCAGCTGCAAGAGGGCAAGAAAAAACAAAACAAAACACAAAAATTGTTTAAGCTGCTAAGCCCCTACATAACTAAAACTAACAAGCAGGAGAGGGTTAGCGCACACATCTACACTAGCAACTCCCTTGCAGAATTTTGAGGATAGACTTTTCCCCATGGGTTTGGACAGGATTACTCCTCCTGCCACCCACTGATGCAACATCCACAAGAATTAAAACATCAATAGGACAGTGTCAGTGGGCTTCCACAAAGAGGGACATCATAGAGACAACAATCCCGGTGTGCATGCACATTCGTACATTCAAGGGTACATACATTCCTGTAATATGTATATAAAGGAAGTCTGACAGCTAACAGATAGAAAAAAATACCAGAAACTTGATCTGGGTGGTGTGACCCCTTAATCCTCACAACTTCTTGAACTCTACCTGTGCTACTATGATCAAAGTGTGGCGTTTTTTCTTTAAGACTAGTGGTTTTGCCCATCTTAATGTACTTGTTCCTACAAGGATTTAAGAAAAGAAAAAAAAAAAAAAAAAAAAAAAAAAAACAAACAGCAACACACCACTAAACAAACCTTTTCAGGAAAGACAGAAATTTTAGGTTTGTCTTACTTGCCAAAATCTGTCCAGTTGAAGTCCACTTAGAAAAATAATACTAAAAAGTTCCATACAGCAGTTATCCAACTGAGAAGAACTCACCAACTTTGCTTTTGCTTAAACAAATCTTTTATGACAGACTGTCAGGAGTGTTTGAATTTTATTTCAAGATAATACATTTTGCTGTTCATATTACATGTCTATTCTTTCATTCTTTTAAAAGCAGGCAATTGACTCACTTGGAGTATCTTTAATCTGACAAATTAACAAGAGGACTACACAGATCACTTTTTTCCAACTATCCAATTAGCAGTATTTCTATGAGTGTCCCTGTTTTACATCTTAGTAATGAGAAACTGAGTATGTAGAAATATCAATTCTAGTATTTCCAAAACCGATGATGTAAATTTTACATAGCAGTCTGAAAACCTTCGTGGTGGGATTCTCACCCACCTCTCACACCACCTAGAGTGACTACCACGTGCCTCAGTTTATCTTAATACAGAGCACTAAAAAGCTTGACTGAAATATTCAGGCAGTTGCATTAGCTCCTAGGTTCCTCTGGACATGCCATATTGGCCAGCCAGAAGCTTAGACACTTAGAACTGTTTGGCAGTTTTGAAAGTTGAGGCTACCCAGCAAGCTACTCAGCGGCAGTAACAATAAAATACCTTATTTACAACCACTGCAGCACAGGGAGGGTCCTCCACCAGGCTTCAACAGCTCTGTGGAGCCTCCCCATCCTCTGCTGGAGCCTCAGCCACGCAGCTCTCTTCCACCCAGCACTTCTTCAGCTTGCAGGATGTAAATCAAGCACTCAGTCTGAGAAGCAATCCAGACAGAGATGCTCTGGTGCCTTCACTGAAAATAAGCTTGTTTCATCATCAAGGGGGCAGGGGAGCTGCTTATTTTACTTTTTCCCATCCCAAAAATAATGCTACTCATTAAAGTCACATTTAAGCTCAGACAGCCAAAGCCCTTGTGATGTCTGGTGAAATAAAAACAGAAAATCTCGATATATACCCCAAACAGACATCACTTTAAGGACCACCACAAAGCCTTCCGTAACACTGAGAGCCATCTACTCATACAAAACTGAGACTGAACGCAGTCCTGTCGGCGGAACCGTGAGCCACGCTAGCGAGCGAGACCACTGCCTGGCTGCCCCTGAACGTTGAAATCGCATACCCCACTCCTACAGGTCTACCAGACATGCAGGCTCCTGGTGTAAAAGGGCATTTCAGGCAACGGTGGTTAATAACACACTGCTACCTCCAAGTAGCCAAATTAATTTGAAAAAGAGAGATGGATGAAGGTTCAGCAGTGTTCATTTCTTCCTGCAAGAACCAAAATTACTTGTCAAGTTGTCCACCTTAAAATTTCCTCATTTTAGCTTACATGTTAAACTGTTTAACTGTAACTAAGTTGTGAGCAAAACTCATGGCATCTTTGGCATTTCTGCCCTAACAACAAGATCTTCTCAGAGCAGAGTTCCCTGGGTTCTGAGGTTGGAGATTCTTATTCCATCATGGCATGTCTTGTGACAAGTATTTTGGGTAATTTAACCAAGGAGTACTTTAAATATCAGTAAACTACTACAAATTGCTCTGAAGGACTAGATGGCTTCCCCTCCCTTTATATGGGTAATAGTCAAAGCCTTTTGCAAAATGCTGAATGAAAAATATATTCCTCAGCTCACGGTCCGTTAAATATTAATTAAGAATATGTCCAAGCTGCAAATAGATTTTAAATAATTGTGACAATGCTATTTCAGGAGTTAGTGCACAAGACAACAAAAGTTTCAAATAACAAAAACCTTCTAAACAACCAGATGTCTCCGATTCAGCTATTTAAACCCCCAGCATTCTGTTTATGGGTCTTTTTTTTCCTGTAGAGTACAACATAAGACAACTTGTAATACTTCTTATTTACCTTTGTAAATGAGATGCTATGCATCCTAAACACTTCCAAAAAAGAAAAAGAAAAAAATCCACAAAACCAGATGGCAAAAGAAACATTCTAGAAAAAAAAAAAAAAAAAAAAAAAAAAAAAAAAAAAAACAACACACACACAAAACCAAACACAATTAAAACCAGTATAAAAGCTTAAATAACAGCAACATTGGCTACATCCAAAGAGGACTTACGCAAATTACTTTTTTCAGGCACACAGGATCTTTTTCAGCAGAATACACATTAAGAGAGCAGAGACATCTAATCAGATCCTGGAGGGGTGAAACCTTTCACACTCTCAGATGAACAAACTCCCTCTGGGAAATGCCGGTGCCTGTTTCATTTAATCGACATTTTGCCATTTGTGCTTTCTGAAGAGCTTCTACTGAGTCAAGGAGCAATCACGGGCCAGGCTCTGGGCCAGGTTTACACCCAGGGCAATGAGACGCAGCCCAATTAACTTGAAAAGAGTTACATTCATTTACATTAAATGGTGATTTTGATCTGAGCAATGATGCTGGATGACATAGTGGGCAACATACCAGAAATCATTCATCCACGTAGGTGGCATAAACATGTAGTAAACATCATTTTCATTAATGATATCCATTACTGAAAACAACAATTACACAGCCAGCACTCTGGTTTCCATGTATGGGTTTGGTGGTATGTTGGGGTTTTTTAAAAATCAGTTCATTTTCTGTCTAAACCGCTCCATCACAGAGGCAACACAGCTCTCCACCCCTCCGACATCTTTCAGCCAGACTACCTTCGGGCTTTATAGACATAAAGACGTACCAAAGAGAAGCCCACGGGCTTTTCCAAGATTCCCCGCAGCTTGACCCCAACTCCAAGGGTAAAGCAAAGGCCAAGAGACAGCTCGCCGCCCCCCCCCCCAACATCTATGGAGCTGCCTGCTAAAAAAGGAGCGGGTTTCCCAGCCCCATGACTTAAGTGCGTGGTACAAATCCGCCCTCCGATTAACGCAGGCTGCTAATTATTTCTTTTGTTTGTCTGTTTGCTTGTTTGTTAAAACTACTAAAGCTGCGCTGCCGAGGCTTCCCAAGAAGTTTAACCACGCTGCTCGGTGCCGCCACGGCTCCTCCTGAGCTGATGCCCCCCCCCCCCCCCCCCCCCCCCCGCACCTCTACTTCGCCAAGTACATTCGCTCCACGAAAGGATACTTAAATAAAAAAGATGCACCTTCCATTTAACCCTTACTAAAAGGCACACGTTTAGTGTCCCTTGGAAAGCCAGCCTAATAGGAAAGCTCAGCTTCCAACAGCTTGTCGACAGGTCCCGTGTTACTCTGCTCCAGCACAACACTGATTTTTTTTTTTTTTTTTTTTTTTTTCCTGCTCTCGCAATAAAACATTAAAAAGCAAGCAAGCCGGGTCGCTGCTCACAGCCGTCGCCACCGCAGCCCGGCAGCCTCCGGAGCGGCACAGCCGGCGTCTGCCCAGCCCGGCCCCACACCCCTGACCGCCCACCGCCCTGCGGCCCCGACCCCGCTCCGGCAAGGGCGCTAACCCCAAAATAAACACCGTACCCCCACCTCACACCCCCCCACGGCTGGGGACGGGGCTGCCAGCTTCCCCTCACGCCGGCCGCGCTGCTCCGGGGGGCGACCGATGGCAGATTCCCCCCCCCGCGCCTCGTCCCACCTCACCTCCCACAGCAGCGAGAGCAGCAGCGCGACCCCGGGATGGAAACGGTTCATCTCTCTTCTTCTTCTTCTTCCTCCTCCTCCTCCTCCTCCTCCTCCCGCGGCAGCGGGCTCGCTGCTGCCGGCTCAGGCGCTGACGGGCGCTGCCAGCGGCGCCATCCCCGGCGGCGGGAGGGCTCCGGAGGCGGACAGACGGACGGACGGACACACACACACACACAGCCCCCGGGCACGAAGGGACAGCCCGGGGGAAGGGACGGCGAGAAGCCCGCGCTGGGGGCAGAGGGACGGGGCGGGGACGGAGGCGGGGAAGCCCCCTCAGCGGGGTGAGGGCGGGCTGACCCGCCGATCCCACCCCGCGGCTGGGAGCCGGGCGGGCAGCGCCGCGGAGAGGCGAGGCGGGGAGAGGCCGGCCGGGACGAAGGGCGGCGCGGGGCGAGGGCGGGCGGCACAAAGAGGCCGGGAGCCGCCGCGGCTGAGGGCGGGGAGAGGAGCCGGCCCGCCCCGGTACCGCCCTGCGCCACTGCCCGGGCCGGAGCGGGGGGGGGGAACGGGCTAACAGCCCCCTCTGCCCTGCCCCGAGGGGCGGGCGGGGGCTGCGGGGCGCCCAAAATGGCGGCGGGGGGGCTCCCCCGCTACAAAAATGGTCGGGGGGCTGGAGCAGCTCCCCTGGGGGGCCGGGCTGAGAGAGTTGGGGGGGTTCAGCCTGGAGAAGAGAAGGCTCCGGGGAGCCCTTCGAGCGGCCTCCCAGGGCTTAGAGGGGGGACAGGGAAGGTGGGGAGGGACTCTGGGTCAGGGGGTGGGGATGGAACGACGGGTCACGGTTTTAAACTGACAGAGGGTAGATTTAATTAGATCTAAGGCAGAAATCTTTCCCTGTGCGGGGGGCGAGGCGCTGGCCCAGGGTGCCCAGAGCAGCTGTGGCTGCCCCCTCCCTGGGAGGGTTCAAGGCCAGGTTGGACGGGGCTGGGAGCACCCTGGGCTGGGGGAAGGGGCCCTGCCCGGGGCAGGGGGGGGCACTGTGGGGGCTTTAAGGTCTCTACCAACACAAACCATCCTGTGGTTCTGTGATTCCATGATGGCACTGCTGTCATCAGCCTCCTGGGTGGGAACAGGAGCTGCAGGGGTGGGCTTAGTTGTGTCCCCCCTCACCTAATGGGAGCCCCTTGGGCACCCCAGAGGAGAGGCTGTGCTCCCACCCTTGTCCTTCACTGCCTCGGTGTCCTTAGAAGATGCCCTGGGTCATCTTCTCATAAAGGTCTCAGGACTAGTGCTAGACCAGAGTGGAGGTGCTCGCCAACTCCGCTCTGAGCCCTCTGGCGGGTGGCTGCTGTAGTTACCTGGACGTTTCCTTCACCACCACCTTGTCCTGGTGCTTTGAGCCTCATTTTCCAAGCCCTTTCCACTCTTAACACAGCTGGACACTGCACTGTGTTCGGTGGGAGGGAGGCACGCCTATCCTTTAAATTTAGGAGGGACCAGAGGTCTCTTGCCTTTGCTTTATAGGACAGTTAGTTAGTTAGTCCTCAGGAAAATATCAAAATAGGTAAGAGAGGGGCAACTCTCTTACCTTCTCCTGTTCATCCCTCTGAATGACAGACCTTTTCCAGCATCATTAGTGAAGGAGGTGTGTATCTTCACACCGTCCTTTTGTGGGCTACCTATCTAAAAATGATTAGCACATCCTTGCAACACACACTGTTCAGCAATTCTCTGTTGTCATAATCTTGAAGGAAGAAACTTGCCGTCTCCTCATAACACGTTGCCCAGTGAAATGTCATCAGGTGGTTATTACCTCCATACAGTGAACTTTGGGGGAGTTTAGGAACAGCTTCCAGCTGGCACCATTAATTATGCAACCTCTCATGCCTGGGTCATACGCTCGATGTAAAAAATGACTAAATTTAACAAATTCCCACACACTGTGTAGCACTGTGTACTCAGAGGTAGCGTGCACAAGCCCTTCCTGAATGACCACTGACTTTGATAACTTTTTTTTGTCTCTCTTTGATGCCAACCAATCTGAAGCTGTGAGGTGCATTCTTCAGGTGAACACTTACTCATCTCTACCTGAATTTGCCAGAAGATACCTAAGGAGATGTCACGGCCATCATGTTGTCCAACAGTGAGGACTGAATGAGTCTCTGCAGTCTGAGTTGAAAAGTCATGCCCTCTTACATCTGCAGGTATAAAGACACATTGTACACTGGGTATCATCTAAGATGGATCAGGTTATGTTGTCTCAACATACAAAGTCAGGCGTTGCTTCAAAAAGGCTCCCATTCATGTAAGTTTGGAAAGGACAGTTTTCAGAGCCCTGTCCTGACGTATGGCTTTAACACTAAACTGTCTTCCCATTCCTAGTTTCTGTGTTGCATGACCCACGAGACGGCATTTTGGAGACACACCGAGACATGATGACTCTTCATGGAGAAGCCAAACAGCCTGACCCGTTCAGGGACACCAAATGAATCTGAATGTCGGTGCTGACCACAGGTCCTCTGTGCTGCTGCTGTATTTCCCAACAGAGGTGCCCTGACAACCCAGAGATGGGCAGAAACCCTGGTAGCACAAATTCTGGGAGGACTGAGAAAGCACTAAGAAAAGGTAGGAGAGGAATCTGGAGTCTTGCAACCTAAGTCCTTGTAGGCCAACAGTGCCTGTACTTTCAGCTGATGGCCCACTCAAATATACCTAGGCAAGAGCCAGATGACAGTTACATTTCAGTTAATTATGAGCACATACATCACTACTGAGTTTAGGCTGACAACCAAGAAGGCATTACATTTTTTTTTTTTTCTCAAAAAAAAAAAAAGAAGGCTTCATCTGGGGCAAGAATGGAAAAAAAAAATATATTGATGCTATTTTTATCCAATAGACAGGTTAGCAAGAGTGAGATGGAAGCAGTGGGCTGGAGGAAGAGGAAAGCGCAGAGCCTGGAAGCATATGCTTCCCAGTGCATGGTTTGTTATCCAGCCTAGATAAGGGTATGGATATCCTATACTATAAAATTCTTTCAAGGCCAAGAGATAAGCTGAAAAAGGAAAACCAGCTCCTGAGCCAGGAATAAGTGGTTTCGTATTTCATGTCGGTCATATCTCGGCTTTCTTAAGTGATGTCTTCTTTCATTTCTGCCTAGCTTCAAGGAACCATCTTCATCCCCAGGGAAAGCCCATTAGCTTTAATGGAGTTCGAGTACAAATGAACTTAGCCCAGCATGTGGCATTTTTTCAGAAAAAGTGCGAGTTGCAGCAGAGCCCCTTTGAGCTTGTCTAGGCGATAAACGAACGCTTTCTATCCACTGTGCTGCAGCTCGCCGGCGAGGCAGGCAGGGCGCACGCACCGTGCCGCTCTGACACAACTGAAATGAAATATGGCTTTTGTCAGAGGCGAGGTCCCCAGGTAAAAATCCAGCCCCTTCCTCCACATCCTGCTTCCAGTCTTTCTTCAGATACAGTGTTCAAAGAGCTTAATACTCCAGAACACCCAGAATCTGCACAAATACATGTATTTTAAAAAAATAAAATAGTGGCACAAACAGTAGCATTAATGAAGCTTTATTTTATCTGAGGCTTGCACCGCAGCTGGAATATTCACAATATTCCTCTCCTCTGTGGATTCTTAAGTGTTCCTCAATAATATTGCCATCATTCTCTCAGTGGAGGTGCCAGTATTAATGTATTTCTTTTACTTGTCCATCTCTTTTTCCCGCAAGGTAAAATCATATTATATTTTTGAGACTGTCACACCTCTACCTCTTTTTTTTTTTTTTTTTTTTTTTTTTTTCAAATTCAGTAACAGGCACAAAAATTCCTAGGGGGACTCACAGTACGTATACATGCTGTAGACCTTATTTATTTTGAACACAGACTGGTGTAGTTTTTTAAAGGGTGTAATGCTTATAAACTGCCTTTTATCGAGCGTTTTCTTGTTTATGTTGAAACAGTTGTTTCTGATACTATTGAGAAACACTCAATTCCACAAGGGCTGTGTGTAGAGCAGGTAACAACTTTATTATGAACAAACAAATACAATATTCTCATTCTCTTCTCTGCATGAACTATTAACAATTATGTGCGTCTACAATTTTGTATATATTAGAGTATGCCACTACGTCCTTCACAGGTGCTATTATAAATGAAGCAAATTCTTGTTCGTTTTCCAAACTCTGTATTTTAAGTGTAGGATCACCTCGAATATATGTTGAGATTCTTTTTTTATAATTAGGTAAATGGTAATAGCCTTTGTCAGTAAGTAAAAGAAATTCCTTTTAAATGACATAAAATATTCAGTAAATGTCTCAGCCTTCCAAAATCATCACTGATATCTGTTGAGAAACTACTTTAACATTATTCATTTAAAAACAGGTAGAAAAAATATTCATGAATGTGGCAATAACCAGCCAAGACAAACATAACGTCACATTTCTGCAGCTTCCGTATCTTGTTCAAAGCACTTTGTTTATCTATCGTGTGAGGTTTTTTAAAGATCCTCTGCCTCTTTTAAGACATGTGGGACATATTCTGAAAAACCTTGCTCATTTTTTCTGTCTAGCGGTTTACACAAAGGTGTAGTCTCTTGGCAGAATAATAGTTAAGTTATAATACAACTTCCCAGAATAAAGACCAATTTTTTTCATCACTTGCACCAATAACTTACTCATAATGACTGACTTTAAATGAAACTTTAAAGGAAAAGACTCAGGACTTGCTTAAGTTTTAACAACCCACTCCAAATTCAGTAGCGTATTACACCCCAATGTCTCCATCTTCAAAAACTGTAACTTCTGTAAGAGTCTGGGGAGGTTTAGAGAGACGATCCAGACATAGTAGTCCTCCTTCCAATAGTAATGTAAATATTTATACATCCTACAACTTAATTTTTGTATGGAAGGATATTATTGAGCTGAGTGACACCAGCCAAAAAAAAAAAAAAATGTACCTGATTTGTATTTTAGTATTCCAATACATCCAGATATTAATTTTTTTAATCTTCACCAATATCTGCAAAGTGCATGAAGAGGTCAGTTTTTCATAACTACTGAAATGAAATAAAAGTCACCAAACTGATACAGAATAACTGCTTACCAGACCGTATCGAAGACCTCCAAGTAAGAGTCCGTAGTATTCATAGTCACTATATACTACCACACTGGAAATCTGTGGCCACTTCGGACACCTCTTCCAAGAAAATATATTTAACAAATATGATAAGAAATGAAGGGTGGAGTGATTATCTATATAAGTCATCTTGCCTGGGCTCCCACAGAACAGCCCTGCTGTTCACACTATGACTTTTAGGATTTCTTGGTGGAGTCAGATATTTGTCCGTCATGTTACAAAAATAATTCTATAGCAAACAGTATTTTGAGAAGCAGCAAGTACAAGATGAGCATTAGTATTCCGAAGGACAAAGCTTATTGATTAAACATACTACCCAATGCAGCCA